GAAGCCAGGAGGTGCCGAAGCAGTTGGCTTTGTGAGGCTGAGCTTTGTCTGGCCTCTGCCCATTGGCCTTTCAGGCATGAATGGATCTACGGCTATGGGAAGCCATCTTGTGTAGCTCGCAGGGTCATTTTGGCTCGCAAACCATCACACCACGTCAAAGTGCAGTCTCGTTTAAACTGCTCCGTATCCTCGGACGCATTCACTGAGTGTTTGCACTGTATAGATTGAGAATGGTAGATCACTTATGTGCACAAAGCTTGCACTTGAACTGTAGATATCACACAAAGGTCACTTTCAAGACTCTCTTGCGTTTGGTCTGAAAGCCATTTATTTGCTACCGGCCTGTTAGATTTTCAGTGGTTAAAGTGAGCGAGAGAGAACGGTTTAGCTAATGGATGCAACTTTTTGATTGCACCGTACCTAGCCACGTGTTCCTTAGTAAATTAATATTGGCAAGCACCATCATGGAGCACCATACCATTACCAGTGATTTGGGGCCAAACGATAAATGAGATTATGGCCTTTCAATGTCTGTGTGCGCCTATTCTGGGATCAACCAATGATCCTATTTCAAAGTGAAGTTTAAGACACCGATTTTCTCCTTGGTCTTTAGAGTTTCCAAGCATCCGCGTGATTCGGAAAACTGAACCGGTCGTATGCTGCCCTAGTTTATCATTCCTATCCTCAGAACATTCCTCGCGCTATTCTCAAACTAACCAGTGCAGACTGTTCTGTTTTGCGTGATTGATTGAAAATGCAGTTATTCATGCAAAGTGTATATTACTTGATCGCCTACGCAGTGGTGCTATCAAACCTGTGTAGCTTTCTGGAGATAGCTGTTTTTAAACACAGGCGCCGAATAGTTGTGTAGGACGTCTATATCGAACTCCACCGGAAAGAACAACTAGTGTTCACCTCTATTTGAAGGTAGAATGATTTGGGGTGGCGCGTTGTTTGGAAAAGGCATATGATCGATTTTAGGAAAAAAAACAAGCTGATGAAACAAACCGAGATATGTGAATTAGTTTGGGAGTGCTGCGTCAGAAGCTTGACTGATTGTTTTATTCGTCCCGGTTACAGACGTCACTTAGAAGATATCTACGACTTGTGTTGGTCACCAGACGGTCGTGGACTTATTTCTGGATCCGTTGATCATTCTGTTATAATCTGGCAACTGGATTTGGAATCAGTGTGTCTATCCAGTGGATCTGCATCGAACAATGCAGTGCCGACCGGCGCTGGGACCACAGTATCAACAAACAGTACCATGGTAACCAACACTGAAAAGGCTGAGTCAGTACCCACAAACCCCGGCACGGACTCCGCACCCATCTCCTCCACCACTGGTCCCGGAGGCACAAAAAACCTGATTGTACGTGATCACAAACATTATGTGCAAGGTGTCACGTGGGATCCATTGGGGTTTTATGTGGCCAGCTTAAGCAGCGATCGTGCCTGTCGTGTTTACCGGNCTTGTTTGGCTCATGTATCAAAAGCCGGGAAGCAGCGGCTGTTTCAGGTAAGACCAATGATGAGTTTTTTATAATTCCATTCTGATTTTCGAATTGCTTGTCTGCAATGTTTCAATTGTACCATTCAAGTGGGTACCATTCAGAGAAGGCTATTTTACTACTGGTATTGTGTTATTATCCCTATTAGTATATACATTAGGTTTTCCATACTGAAGGCTGCGACTGCATACTGCATCTGATAGAATGATCGGATTAGCAATACGGGTCTTAGTTTTAGTGAACAAAACTGTGAAACTCTGCCCCCGGTAGCTTGATCTACATGGATGTATGGACAAACGCATTGAGTTCATCTGTAGATGGATCTGTTCGGTGGGCATTGTTGCTTGTGACGAATGAAAAACTGCGATCGCCTGCCCATAACCTGATGGTGCCAATAGCGTCGGCCCCGAATGTTGCAAAAGATATACTCTTTGGGTTGCCTAACCGACTCGTAAACGCGGCCCAGCACAGACTATCTCAATGCACAAATCAGAGACCCTTCGGATAGTGGGTTCTACGTGGAAGGGGGGGGAGGAGGGGTTCAAGCAACCTGAAATACCGGAAAAATGCAAAACAATCATTAGCCGAAAGGTTCTGTTGGAGATGCACAATACTCACACACTCAATCCAAAATGGTGGTGATATGCTCAACATGCCTTCATTACACTCATATATTTACAAGTATCTGGTTACTCATAAAAACCGACAATATTAGCCCTGGAAATTGTGGTGCAATCTTCTAACTTTCATTTTAGACTGAATGCTGTCGAAATTTTCCGCTTTGCGATGCCACGCGCCACTGACAACAACCCGAACTCCGATATTTTCGTGCAAGATTCAGGGTTATCTGCGCTGTGCCGTACGAAACCACTTCTGGATTCTTAAATAAACGATTGAATGATTTAGCTGGAAAAAAACATCACTGGCTAATCTAAAAAACGGTGGCATAAGATATCCATCGAAATAGCAAACTTTTCTTCATGTCCCATATTGCTAGTCTACATAAAATACCCCAGTTTAGTGCTTTAGTACGTAACACCGTGCGCTGACTAGAGACAACAGTTAATTGTTTTGATTTATTGCATTATTCTATTGACACTGGCCGGACTATCATTTTCATGTTACTTCATGTCAGTTGTCTTCGCCCCCGTTCGGTAATTTCTAGTCCGCTCTGCAGAACATATTCACTTTGTCTGATAACATATCAGGGTGTGAATTATATGCACATATTACCTCATACAAATGTTAGATGAAAGGATGAGTTATCGCGCTCTTTGCTGGAGTCGGTTCTAGTTAAATTTACCGTCTATGCTTCACACGCTTTTGTATTAAACACATTCTTGTGTGACGAACAACAAACAGGTTCTACCCCATAGTCTCGTACATTTGCTAATTAACAATGGAAACCGGCAACCTAAGCTCCGGCGCTCGGAGTGGCGCACCACCTAGGACCCCATTTGGATAGGCGTGGTATCAAACCGGAGGTCCGCATAGCTGTCTATCACCGAAATAGAGTGGCTTTTCATGTGATTGGGGTAAATTGTGGTGTGTACCAGTAAAATCCACTGATACTTTCATTTCCTGTTTTACTTGGTGATGGGTAAAGTAGAGATAAATTTAACCGTCCCAATGATCTACTATTCGTTATTTGATGTCTTTTAATGCGCACCATTTTACTTACACTTGATTTACTTTAATTTACTACGGCTGGCTCTTTGGAAAGGATAAGCCGGCTCCATGAATGTCTCTGATGGCCACTATCCGTGCTTGGCAGTTTGCTTCAAGATCCTTGCAAATGTCAATGTAGTTTGTTTTCCATCAGTGAGTGGGTTACACCATCCGAAGGCCAAGTTGATCGACGTCTTCGAATACAGTGTCCAGCCAGGTTTTTACTTGCCCCCCTTGTCGGCGGCGACAGCCAGGACATGGTGTCGGAGCCAGGATATTACTCGTAAAAGTGTCGTCGGGTCTGCGGNTGCGGAGAACATGGCCCAGTCATTGCAGTTGGCGGCGTTGTGGGTGCTTTGAGAGACGGGCAGCGTGGCATCGATTTCTGAGGTCCGAGTTTGAGACCCTGTCCCACCAGTTTACTTTCAGGACAGGCTCCACACGAGAACTACCTGTCGTTTTTCTGTTTTCTACCGCATTTCAACCAAATTGGTTTTCAAAAATTCACTGATCTCCGTCACTTTTTTTTATCCAGGACGATTCGTGGAAATCCTTTTTTCGGCGGCTGTCGTTCAGCCCAGATGGTCTATTATTAGCTTGCCCGGCCGGTAACTTGGAAGAGGCTGTATTTGCCGGCAGTGTGGCTGCTGCTGCGGCCGCAGCGATAACCAGTGCCCCGAACGCCAATGACGAGCCTCAGATTCCCATGGTCGCACCGCAGCATGCTGCTCACATTTTCCTCCGATCCAATTTCACCCGTCCTGTGGTCAGTTTGCCAACCGGCCCTCGTCCCGTGGTATGCGTTCGGTTCTGTCCGCAACCATTCCAACTGCGTCCGACT